TGCGTTCCCCTTGGAACAAATGTCTTTATACTGGGTAGTTACTGTTCTCCCAGGGATACATCTGTTGGAAGGCCACTGAGGGGTTACAGTGGTTTTTGCATACTGGAAAATATAGAGCTTCATTTCAGAAAAATAGCCAGATTTGACCTGACTTCCACTTTTCTTAGATTAAAAAAAAAAAGTCCACCATAGAGACTGATTACAGTACGTCACCCAGTGTTGATGACACCTGTAGTTTGTGCCTGCCACGTGTCCTCCCCTCCTGATAATAGTCCCTCAGTCTGAGAATGTCTGTGCCACTGCACACGGCCTCAGTGGGACTGTTAGGCATGGGAGCGTGTCCTTCCTTAGCCATGTGGCAGGTTGGAACCTGAGGTTGGCCAGTGAGACTTCCCCTTGTGGGTTTCAGATCCAGAGCGGGATGGCACAAGGATGTTGGCGGAGATTTAGACCAATGATGGGGTGCCACTATAAGGCCACCCGCTTCCTGAAGTTGAGCGGCCAGGGTTCCCTCTTTTCTGGAGCTTGGCTATTTCCTTTAATCACTCTTGTTGCTGTTATTATTGTTGTGCTGTTATACTATCATCATCATCATCATCATCATTGCTTAATTTAACCAGCTGGTCAGTTCTTGCTGCTAGCAACTGCAAAATTCTTTTCTTTTTAAATGTTCATTTATTTATTTTGAGAGCGAGAGCATGCAAACAGGGGAGGGGCAGAGAGAAAGGGAGAGAGAGCATCCCAAGCACCCTCTGTGCTGTCAGTGCAGAGCGTTGACATGGAGCTTGAACTCACAAACCATGGGATCATGACCCGAGCCGAAGTCGAATCAGACACTTAACCGATTGAGCCACCCAGGCAACCCCAAAATTCTGTCTTCTACAACAAAGTTAGTTTGACAAAACCACCCAGGACTGTGTTAGAGATTGGCTAAGAACAAAACAAAACAGAGCAAAACAAAACAAAATCAGAGCAGCTTCACTGGCTGAAGCCCAGATATCAGCTGTAAAGTTCTAAAATGGGTATGTGTGGCACCCGGATGGCTCAGTCGGTTAAGGGTCTGACTTCAGCTCGGGTCATGATCTCACAGCTTGTGGGTTCGAGCCCCACGTCGGGCTCTGTGCTGACAGCTCAGAGCCTGGAGCCTGCTTCAGATTCTGTCTCCCTCTCCCTCTGCCCCTCCCCTGCTCATTCTCTCTCTCTCTCTCTCTCTCTCTCAAAACTAAATACATATTAAAAAAAATTTTTTTTTAAATAGGGGTGTGTGCATCTCTGCCTCCCACCAACCCCCCATGTGTCCTTCCAGGGAGGCCCTGAGTGACAGAGGTTTTGTAAAATTTTTCCATCTACTTCTTTGCTCTGATGCCAGGACTGGCATGTAAAGAGCCAAAATGAAGCAGGGAAATGGGGGATAAGGGCGAGAATGCAAGGTGAGAGGGCTTACAGCATAGACATCTGTCTTAAAAGCACTGAGAGTTAGAGTTGTCCTAAACCCACTGTGTGAGTTACGGAGAAACGGGTGAGCTCTCTGATGTCTCAGGACCACAGCTGTGGGAAGGGGAGGGAGTTGCCCAGCCGGATCTCCCAGATCTCGGAGCAAGCACCCACTTCAACGCCCAGCTCTCAAAGCCGGAATGGAGGAGATTATAGGATTAATCTGCTGCCTGCCTGATCGGCTTTGACGATCAAGGCCACCAGGAAAGGATAAAATAAACCTGCATGCTCTCAGGAGCCAGAGGGAATCCTGGCTCCCTTTATCCCAGCCCAGATCAGGTCACAGGCCCGAGTGGCTTGATGCTAATGCTGGCCAGCGGGGTTCAGACTGGGCTGGATGGGCACAGATAGAAAAGGGACAGAGCCTACTCACTCCTTTCATCTAACAAATTTTTCTTTACTACTCTAGTGTGCTGAAAAACTATTACTGCCTTAGCAAAACAAGGCCGATGACTGAAATGACTTATTCTAGTAGAATCTTTTCAGAACTGTTTGAGGAAAAGCTGTTGTTTCCATATGTTATTACCATTGGCAAACTGGGATATGAAGGTGTGGTATGGTGGGGTGGAATATGTGTGAATGTGTGTGTGTGTGTGTGTGTGTGTGTGTGTGTGTGTGAGAGAGAGAGAGAGAGAGAGAGAGAGAGAGAAATTGGGTATTTAGGAGGATATCTATTGGTTTTGCCAGCAGAGCATACATTCCAACATTCTTCTTCTGGTAGAAAGCACCCTAATTTCTCAATGAGAAACCACTGCACTTTCACTCTAGATGGTTCCAGTGTAGTTGAGCCTGCTCATAGGCTCCAGAGGCGGTATCTGTCATAGCACTGATCCCCTGGTCTAGTCCAGCCTCCATCTGTCGTGATTGGCTCCAGAAAGGCCACACGACCCATGACAGCGCAACCAAGTCACCTGGGGCCTTTTGCTGGGGCTCTCAGCAAAGAGGTCTTCTCTTTGCTGATGTGGTTGCTAAGCTGGTAGGGCAAGACCGGAATCTGCCAGAGTCCTTCACATGCAGAGAACCAGCCTAAGAATAAAACCAACACAGGGAAGAACAAAGCTGAGGTATGGAGAGAAAGATCCCCATCTTGCTGGCATCTTTGGAGTCTCTGGATCCAGCCACAGCTGAAACCAGGTCTATTCCTAGACTATTAAGTTGCTTGAGCAAATAAATCTCATTTGTGGCTTAAGCCAGTTTGACCTAGGTGTCTGTCATTTGTAATCCAAAGAGTCTTGACCCAGACAGATACTGACAGGAAAGCAATTGGATCCTGGAGTAAGGTGGAGAAAGAAATCCTAGCTTCTCCCCTGCCCAAGAGTGAAGGGGGAGGGAGAAAGGGAAGAGTAATGAACTTGGAGCTCTCCCAAGTTAAGTGTTGATCTTGAACCTTTGATTATGGACTTTTGCTTCAGTGGATTAGACTTCCCGTGAACAAGCATCCCAAGACTCTCGAAACTTCACTAATGAATACAGTAAATAATTAATACCCTACATTATTTCCTGTCACTCAAATCTTAATATTAACTATTCAGTGATTTCTCAATGCCTGTATTCTCACCAGACTAAAAAGAAGCTCTTTCAAATAAACTAGTTACTATAGAAAAAAAAAAAATACCGGGGTCACTATAGATATAATGGCAATTTCCAGAGACTCATTAGCACATTGATAACTATTATTTTCAGTTAATTAATACAAAGAAATGGCATTTCCTTTTAACTTATGTCATTAGTCAAATGAGCTTTCTAATTAAGATTTGCAATCTACAAATTTACAAACTGGTGAATAACTCTAAACATGGAGAATTATTGCTAAGGTCTGCCTGGCCTGAACTGGCTTTCAGAACTTGAAAAAAGGGGGGGGGGGGCGAATAATTTCATTCCCTGGCGGTTTCTCCGCAAAATCTTTTGTTAAATAGATTCAAGATATTCATTGCCATACCATCATCATGGTTCTGAATGTCATTTCCACATTGCATTGAATTCAACTGAAATATTGCATCACATAAGATAAAGAATTAAGTCTGACACTTATCGGCAATAATATTTGTAAAATGAAAAAAAAAAAGCTTAAATTTGACAAATATAAAAATGAACCAGACTTCTAAAACAAACCCAAACAGAAATTTCATTGAGAAAATGTATAAAATGAGTCTGTGGCTGGACCCAGCAAACATCACAGAGACAAAGACTGTTTACTGTTAAACAGTAATTAGCAAACCAATCAATAGTATTTGCACAAAATCTAATTGCAGTCTTGCTCTACTCTCTTCATGAAAAAAGCCAAGTACTTTAGCACGTGGGAAGGAGAGTTTTACTGAATCAATCAACTAACATTGGAGTGCCCGATGGGCAGAGCATGTGTGTGGAGCACAGCAAAGCAGAAGCACTAGTGTTTTTATTTTGAAAATGTTTGGTACCTAATAATTAAAAACAGAGAGGAAAGAGAGAAGAAAATCTGTGAAGTGATCCCATGGAAAAAAATCAGAGTCTGGTGGATTCCTTTATACTTAGTTTATTGTTATTACCTTGAATTGCATATGGCAGGATGCCATGCGTTTTTCAATGCTTGGCAGTTGGTTTCTAATGCTTTTAACCTAGCCTTGACAATGGGTATAACATTTGGGGCATACGATCCCAAATACAGAGAATATCTTGTTCACATGAAAACAAATGTCTTTTAATGACCATATAATAACTTTTGAAAATTATGCACATCAGGCAAACATTGCCCACAGGAAGGGATGGTATATCGACTCCACTAATAATGTATACACAATAGCCAATGTGCACATTATGGAAGAATAATTATAAATTTTAAATATACTAGTGGAATTCCAAAATCTGACTTGACTGGTACATAAACCTCTGAGGACGACAGGTCAAAATTCCCTTGTGATGTATATTCAGGATATGTTCTCTCACTTATAGGTTTTCTCTTAAGAAGAGTACTGCACTTTGGATGGGGTTCTAACTCATAGAAAAGAACTCACAGCACCTTTTTAATAGAAAGAACAAGGAAGCTAGTGAAGGCACCATCTTAGTAGATGTTAACATCCTTTAGAAGGGGTGGAGTTGGTAGGAAAAAAGCTCCCAACTCAGTTCAAGCCTTAGCTTGTGGCATTGTAACAGCTGTGCGACTTGGAGTAATTGACCTAACCTCTCGCAGCCTCAGATGCCTTGCTGGTAAGATGGGAATAATATTGGGACCTAACTCACGAGACTGTTGTACAGACTAAACAAGAAATCATACATAAAGCAGGCAATGTGCAGGGTGTTTTGCATACAGTATCTTGTTTAGTGGGTACACAAGTGGGTGTGCTTTAGTTTTCCCCAAACAAAATGCTGTTATTTCCAAAAACCGTAACCAATCATCAACCCGTTTGCCTCAGGGGTGGAGGGATGGTTCTGTACGAGGCCAAGGCTGCTGTTCCCACTGAACAATAGTCTGGCAATTCTGGGCTTTAGGCTTGGGCAGTCTTAACCTTCTTCTGCATGGTGAGTCTTACCTCATAGTAACTCTGGACGGCGTTCATGAAGGCTTCATCAGCCACAATCTGGGTTTCCCCATTGAGGAAAGCCTGAAACCGGTCCTTGACTGTTTGCAACTGCTGTTTGCTGATCTGTAAGGAACAGAGAAAGAGAGAACAGTGAGGACTTGTTCTAGACAAGGATTGTGATTGCTTTCGTGGAAGATGCCAGTCCCATCGGTGTGCTAGCCCTGGCTTGTATGGGCGCACACTAGCTGACTGTTACATTTGCAGGAATTTTGTGAGGTGGTTGTTTATTAAAAAATACATAAAGACATAAATTGTTAAAAAATTATATTGAAAACAAAGGCAACACATATTCAAAAGTCATTGTTTCCTGATCATTTTACCATTACCTGTGCTTTTGAGGTTATTAACCTCAAAATTGTATCTATTGTATCTATCTATCTATTGTATTTGTAGGGTGGAAACAATAGATAATGGGTGCTACCATATACCTCTTCCCAACTCCACATTCCGTGACACCTTGTTGGAAGCCAGATATCAACCAGGATGGGAATATTTACACCATGGAAATTGGCAAATGCTATATATAAGTCATGTGTTCTTGGCTTGTTGTTTTTGTTTTGTTTTGTTTTGCTTTTCGTGAGAGAGGGTTGTGTTGAACAAACCACCACACAGGCACCTCAGGTGGTCTGAAATACCCTGCTTTCCAAATCTATAGTCATCAAAACAGTATAGTATTAGCATAAAAACAGACATATAGACCACAGAACAAAATTGAGAACCCAGAAATAAACTCATGAATATACAGGCAATGATAACTGACAAGGACACCAAGATACTCAATGGGGAAAGGACAATCCCCTCAATAAATGATGCTGGAAAAACTGGATATTCACACCCAAGAGAAAGAAATTGGACCCCCTATCTTACACCACTCACAAAAACTAACTTTAAGTGAATTAAAGACTTAAATGTAAGACCCAAAACTGTAAAACTAGTAGAAGAAAACACAGGCAAAACCCCCTTGACACGGGTCTTAGCAATGAATTTTTGGATATGACATCAAGAGCTCAAGCAACAACAGCAAAAATCGACAAGAGGGACTACATGAAGCTAAAAATCTTCTTTATAGCAAAAGAAACAATCAGCAAAATAAGAAGGCAATTTATAGAATGGGAGAAAATATTTGCAAACCATCTACCTCATAAGGGGTTAATATCCAAAATCTATAAGGAACTGATATAAAAGCAAAAAAACCACAAAAAATCCAATGAAAAAGTGGGTAGAAGACTTGATTAAACATTTTTCCAAAGAAGACATACAAATGACCAACAGGTACATGAAAGGATACTCAACATCACTTATCAGAGAAATGCCAATCAAACCCACTATATCTCATCACCTCACACCTGTTTGAATGGTTATCATAAAAACAACAACAACAACAACAACAACAACAGCAACAACAACAAGAAATAACAACTGTTGCTAAGGCTGTAGAGAAAATGGAACCCCTGTTCCATACTGTTGATGGGAATGTAAACTGGTGCAGCCACTATGGAAAATAACATGGAGTTTCCCCAAAAAATTAAAAACAGAAGTGCTATACGATCCAGCAATTCCATTTCTGGGTATACATCCCAAGGAAAGGGAATCACTATCCGAAAGAAATAGTGGCACCCCTACATTCATTGCAGCATATTCACAATAGCCGAGACATGGAAACAACCAAAGTGATCACTGATGTTTGAACACACACACACACACACACACACACACACACTTGATTATTATTCATAAAAGAGAAAGAAATCCTGCCATTTGTGACAACATGGATGGACCCAGAAGGTATTATGCTAAATGAAATAAGGCAGACAGAGAAAGACAAATACTGTTATGTTCTGGCTTACATATGGAATCTGAAAAATGTTGAGCTCAGAGAAATAGAGAGTGGTTGCCAGCATCTCAGGGGTGGGAGAAATGGGGAGATGTTGACCAAAGCATACAAACTTCCAACTATAAGATGTAAGTTTTGGGGATTTAATGCACAGCACGGTGACTATAATTAACAGTACTGTCTTACATACTTGAGTGTTGTTAAGAGAGTAGGTTCCACAGCCCTTTATTCTAACTACTTGTTAGCTATGATTGAATTTGTTAGATGATATGTCCCTTTTTGTTATTTGTTCATTGATGTCTCCCCAGGGCCAACTTAGTGCTTTACACAAGACAGGCACTCCATAAGCGCTTTGCTGAATAAATGAAGGCAGTGCACGAAAGAAATCTTGGAATATCCTTTAATCAGTTCTAATTTGTATGAAAAGAAAGTCAGCTAAAAACTTTGCCGTTTTTACTATTATTTATAAAAAGTTATACTCTATAAATTGATAATGGGATACTGTGTCTAACTGTTGTAGAAGAAAGCTTAAAAAAGATCATTCTGGTCCTAGCTCCATCAACCATTGTGTCATCTTGGAAAAGTCACTTATATCCTCTGAATTGGCCAGAGAGTTAGAAGCCCTTCTGGAATAAGGCCAGTTTAACAAGTAAATGTTACACCATCCTTATTTATCTCACTTGGAAAATGGTGATAATTATGGCCTTGGCATAGTAATAGCTATTTGATAACATAATATGAGTTCTTTTTTAAAATTTTGAGTTTCTGTATTCATTAATGCACTGATTCATTTAAAACATTTTGTTTATTTATCTTAAGTAATCTCTATACCCAACGTGGGGCTTGAACTCACAACCCAAAGATCGAGAGTCATCTGCTCCACTGAACCAGCCAGGTACCCCATTTCTATATACATTTCAAGTGCTTTCATCATTAGCATCAATGCAAATCTTGCTATTAGAAAATAATGTTTAGAGCTATAGGACACTGAAGACTGGCTTGAGTTTTGATTCAATCAGGAAACAAGGAGTAGAGTTTTGAGAATGGACAGAGGTGGGATCTGGGGTGCTTTAATTTTGTAACTTTGGAAAAAGTGAGACTAGTGAAGTTAGGGGCAGATGTAAAAGAGGTAGGTTTTTAACAGATTGATATTTGTCATGTCCTAGAGCACCACTGTCTCAGGTTAGCCATGTGTACAATTTTACATTTTCTGCACGTCTCACTTTAAAAAGTATCAAAAACTAAGTGAAATAAATATTAATACACTTTGTGGAAGCCAATATGTCAAAAATATTATTTTACATATAATCATCATAGAAATGGTTAATGAGATATTTTACGTTCTCTCTTTATACTATATCTTTGAACTCTGGTGGTATTTTACACCCATAGTATATCTCAATTCAGAATCACCACACTGCAAGTGTGCAATAGCCACGTGTGGCTGGCGGTCACCGCTTTGGACAGCCGGTCCTAGAGCATGGTATGAACGCACTGCTAAGCCGTGTAGACTTTCCTGGTCTGACCCAGGATGTGAGGATCCAAGGATACTGGTATCACTGGAGTTGTACAGAAAAAAATCAGAGTTATTTGTATGCATTTGAAAACATTTCAACTGAATTATTGGGCACCAGTTGATTTTCTCGTAAAAATGACACCAGAACATAAATTTCTATCAAGTAGTTCAGCCTTCACTGGCCTAAGTCACAAATCCTTACAGTATAGTATAGTACCAACCAAGGCATCTCACAGAATTTACATGCAGAATTCCTTCTAACACTGAGTTAATACCAAATCGGCACAATCTGGGGGGTGGGACGGAGTGGGGTAATGGAACAGGAGAGGGAGTGGCCACCAGTACCCCTTGCTTTTGCCTTAAATCTCAAGGGATGGAAATAAAAGTAGGCACACACCATCTGAATGATGAAGATTGATTGTTGACCCAAGCCAAATCCATTATCACTCTAACCTTTGTTAAATAAGCAGAGTACTCAGTTCTTCAAGAAATATTTACGGAGCATCTATTACCTGCCTGGTTCTACCCCATGTCCTGAGGTATCAGTGGTCAATAAAAACAATCCAACCCCTGACCTCAGGGGCCAGGGCGAGGCAATAGGGAATTCAAGGAAAAAAGGGATTGTTTTCAGGGACCTTGTAGTCAAGATGGAGAGGAAAAAAACATACAAAACGACAACAACGACAACAGCACAAAAGTATGTTTTAGGATTTCAGAGGGAAGAGATTACAGAATGTAAAATGCTTAAAAGGAGAAGGACTTCAGGAACATTAACATGAGTCAAATTCGGAGAACATCCGTCATGAAGCTCCATAAAACACCCCCCACTTCCTCGAACACCTCAAGCTCTCAGTGAGAGAGTCCGGGGCACAGATTCTAGACGCAGAGCTATGCTTATGGCTGGGGTTTGATGCCTGCCAGTCCAAGTTCACTATTTTCCCTCATCACTAATTAAACAAGCAAATCACGTATTTAGTTACCTCACTCACCGTGTCTCACTGGGCAAAGGACTAAGCTCTCTACACCTCAGTGTTTTCATCTGTAAAACAGGGCCATTACTGACCTCATAGGATTGTTGTGAAGTCTAACTGGAGGTAAGTGACATATTCACTGCATAACCTGGTACAGTATGAAAGATCAATAAACAGTAGCTGCTGTGATGATTAATCCTCAGCTTAGAGGCTTTACGCATACTGCTTCCTTGAAAAAGCATGCCTATGGGAAAATTCCAGACGTGTCTTCAAAATGCAACCCCATGCTCCTTCCCAGACTTTTCTGGATGGAGGTGGCTACTTTCTAGTACTTTGTTCACAGTCCTGAGGGTACATGTGTCATACTGCAAAGTAGAAGTTTATTTAGATGCCAGAGCTCAGAGTCAGGGTCAGGAGTCAGGATTTGAGAACACAGATGGGGTCAAAGGGATAGGGACTCCAATCCTGGTGATAATACTCATTTCCAAGGGTAACCTTGGGCAAACTGATTTCCTTAAGCCTCAGCTCTTCATGTATAAAATAGAATTCTAAGTCCTACTCCCAGGGTTGCTGGAAAGATAAGAAGAACATAGGAGGATGTGCCTAAGGAGCTTAGCATGCTGCCTGGCACAGAAAGAGTCAAATCATACAGGGTAGACCAGAAACCAAATGGCCTTGAGGCCTCGCATGATGTAGTCTCGGTCTATTGTCGGCTTTGTTTTGTTTACTCTGCTCTCC